GGGAAGAGGCAGCTGAACGATGGACACACCCACAGATCCTTTGGTACTGGGGACTTGCAGAGGGAGGGCCACCAGCAGGAAAGCAGCAACAACACTACATGAGAAAAGGAGCGATGCACTTCTCAACCTGAAAACGCCAGATGTCACGATGGGCCCTGCGAAACTTAACTTCTAGTATTAACTGTCTGAGCAATATTCCAGCTCTTACTCCTGTGGTTGTTCTCATGGACACATTCACCCATTGGGCTCTTGGTCAAAGCCAAGTAGATTGTGTGTGTCTGTGTTTTTAAACAGGTGATAATGGTTTCCAGAGCAACATGTGAGCTGATTCTGCAGCAGGAACTGTAAATTTTTCAATGAATTCATGAACCAATCGTCTGGGATAAAGGAAGACAACATGAGAATGTAAAGCTTTGGCTTTCAAAGTCTTGGCCTTAGCCCTTCAGGTCATTTGTTATCATTCATGACAAAATGCTTCAGAACAGAAGCTGTGGAAGTTATGTCTAAATTGATAATAAGCACTTCTGTCTCTGATGTAAAAGCAACAAAAACAAAACCACCAAAAAACATGGACATAATTGTTTCTAAATGTAAACTGATCTATATTTACACATTAATCATTTGTGAGAAATTTACCTGAAGCTGAAACAGAAAACCAAAGTTAACAGAAACAAACGTTAAACAGTTTAGGTCATTCCCAAATTTCAAAACTGGTTGATTTTAGTCTAAACTCATCTAAAGATTAAGAGAACATGTTAGCTATCTATGATTATGCCTGGAATTGTTCTTGGCAAATGTACCAGGATATGTCTGAGTAATAAATGCCAAATAAAGCAAACGACAAATAAACTGATTGTGTTAATACTCAGAATCAGATGGGAATGTTTGAATCCTGTCTGAAAGATATTCTGAGCATTGGACAGTAATGGTTCTCCAGAGCTCATGAATGAGACAGGACGGTAAACTATAATGAGATGTGTAAAGTCATATGAAAAGATGTGTTTGAGAGTCAGAGACAGAGTTAAGAGGGAAAAGAAAGCACTGCACTGAATGGGAATTGGGATAGCTCACCTTGGATGTGGTTCAGTTGAATATATTAGCCTACTGCTGATCAACATTCCAGTGAAAATCAATTGTAGGAGAAACTTATAAATGGAAAGCTTCTCATGGAGATGTTAGTATCTTTGTCTATAAACTTTTAAAGAGAAGGGCATTTGACAGTCTGGCCACTACCTGAGATATATGGACCAAGCTGGGGCGGGAGATAAGCAAAGATCTTCAGGCAGACACCTACAGATGAGCCACTGTAATAAATTTCAGTCAAACTTCACCACCTTCTAACTAGTTACAGTTTGTTTTGACTGAAATAAGCTGACAAGATGAAGAAAGTCATTTTGAGACTTCAGGGGTGGCATGGTGGCTCAGTGGTTAGCACTGCTGCCTCACGGCGCCAAGGACCCGGGTTTGATTCCAGCCTCAGGTGACTGTCTGTGTGGAGTTTGCACATTCTCCCTGTGTCTGCATGGGTTTCTTCTGAGTGTTCTGGTTTCCTCCCACAGTCAAAAGATGTGCAGGTTAGGTGGATTGGCCATGCTAAGTTGCCATAGTGTCCAGGGATTAGCCATGGGAAAACGCAGGGTTACAGGGATAGGGTAGGGGTATGGGTGGGATGCTCTTTGGAGGGGTGGCAAGGACTTGGTGGGCTGAATGGCCTGCTTCCACACTGTAGGGATTCTATGATTTAATTGAAGAAGACATCCTGCAATTAACCACGTGTTAATTGGTCTCCAGAGGATTAAATGAGGAGTGAGCCTGACAAATTTGACCGTGACATTGAAGGAATGGGCATATATTTCCAAGTCAGGATGCTGTGTGACTTGCAGCAAGTGGTTTTCCTATGTCTGCTGCCTTTGCCTTTTTAGAAGGCAGAGGTCATGGGATTGGAATGTGCTGTCTAAGGAGCCTTGATCAGTTGCTGTTCTGCATTCAGTAGATAGTGTATATCCTCTTGCAACAGGGGAGCCAGAAGGTGAGTTACTCACTGCCATGTTCCCAGCTTCCTACAAGCATGACTTATTAGAAGATAAATGTCAATCAGCCCTTCAAGTCTGTTCTTCCATTGAATAAGATCTTTGCTCATTTGCTTGTGCTCCAAATTCCACATTCCCATCTGCTCTTGATTATCTTTGATCCATTGCTAAACTAAAAAAATTACTGCCTTAAAAATATTCACTGATTCCACCTCTACCAACTTCTGCAACAGAGTCCCAAAGTCACCCAACCTTCTGACTTAAAAAAAAAATCTTCTCCTCCCTCTTTGTCCTGAAAAGGCAACTCCAAGTTCAAAAACAGTGCCCTCTAGTTCCTGACTCATACACATGAGGAAACAACAGGCTCAGTTATACAGCTAATTGGCCAAGTGTAAATTTCTGTGAATTTCATGGACCATTTCTCTCCATGAGCTCTAGTGAGTTACCTCACACAATACTCTGCTGATCATCTCATTTCAAATGCACTACAGGCCTCCATGGTGCTCTGTCTGCTCTCACCTGTGGCGGAGGAGTTAAATGTTGCCAGGTTCATCTGGGATTTATGTCACCAGCTCCATATTTAAAGCCACACTCTGTATCAGGTCAGTCACAGACAGGAACATCCCATCAGAGTGTGTGTTGTGAGAGAGACAACACAGGAAAATGCATTGTAAATAGAAACTCACATTTGTAAATATATTGCTACTTTACACCATTCCATGTCAGTTCAATTGTCATTTAATGACAGCTAAAAGATTTAGGCTACTCATCCTTAGCACCAGAATGTATCACAGCCCTGTCTCTCAGAGGGTGCTTCCCTTTTCCCAGTGTAGCATTACAGCTTGTCATTGTTCATTGTGGGAGCAATGCATGTTCACATGTTGGAAACAGTTCAAACAGTTGAAACCATTAACTTTTACAGAACAATAGGAAAAGCAAAGGGAAAAAAGGTACAGAAGTTGCATTCACTTCTTGGAGTGAACAAGGACTGCTTGTCTTTTGAGTATCTATCCCTGTAATTATATTGCTCCCAGCACTGTTACATTCCTATTTCCTTCCCCATTTGAAAGGGTCCCTGTAGAAAGTGTTACAAAGTTGTGTAGAATACTCATGAGTTGGAAAGCAGGAAGCTAGAATGTTTGTAAAAATAATAAGGGAGAGGAAAAAAGTGTGATTCCTTTAAGAGATAAAGTGTTTTTCCAAGCCTAGAGTTTTACACAGAGAACATGTGTCTGGAAGCAGTTGCAGAATTGTACAGACAGCTCTAAAATTGAAACATGTATCCATTGGCTGTGTGAGTGGAAACCTCATACTTGTTTTGCTGTTTTGGTAACTAGCTTGAAATCAGTCAATTAATTTAAAACAAGCACTCAGCTTCAAAGTGAATTGAATTGAAAACTGATGATTTTGACAACGTGAAACCAATCATACAATCATATTATAAGAATTTGATGTGTCAAAGGGGCATATAAGAAGGATTTTTTCTTTGGATTCCTCCCCCCCGCCCCAATTTTCAACGGCCATCTAAAGCAGCAAATCTGCCATCTGAGAAATAAATTTGGCTCTCACAAAAAATCATTAAGCTCCTAAACAAAGCACTAAAGGTACATGGCATTTTGTTCCTCAGAGGAAATTATGTAGAAAACATCCATGACAGCAAGATCAATGGAAGAAAAACATTTGTGACTTGAGATCAACAGAAGAAAGGATGCAGAAAACAGTGTGTTCCAGAAAACAGAATTTGTACAAACTTAGAGAGGTCAAGTTTTAATTTATTGTTGTCTTATTAATCAGGTTTCTATAAGTGGGACTTGTGCTTATTTGAAGAGCATACGAGTAGCATTTAATTCAGTTAGGGAATAGTTAGGCGGTGGGGGGGGGGGGGAGATTTGTTCTGTTTGTTCAAAATTCTGTTACTTGGGGTTAGATAACTAAATTGTAACTTGTGACTTATAAAGTGGCAATCAGGGATTTTTTTTTGTCTTAACCACTCTTAACAGATTACAAGGGGCGAACTTCTCTGGGTGTTTCGGAATTAATTATTAGAAGGGAACCTCTACTCCATCATAAAAGATCGGGGTTTGTGTTTCAGTTTAATTATCAGAGGGGTTTGACCCCCTACCCCCATAACAAAAGATATTGTACATAGGAGAGAAGCAGCAGGGCCAGCTGTATAGATTGTCTCAATCTCAGTGAAGAAGTCCACATTCTTGCATTTGTTGTTGAAGGTGTGGATGGAGAGGGAGAAACTAATGAGATATTAAAAAGATTTAACACACTGAATTGAAAAAAGCTGGTGTAGCTGTTTTCCAGCCTGAGCTTCAGCCCATAAAATTGGGCTGAAGTTTATTGATATCAGCAGAAAGAAGCCCAAAACGAAAATGGTTTAGTCCTGGCCGTGATGTACAGAAAATTCCAGCCACTCCAGTCATTTGTGAACTTGCTGGTGACTCAGTAAGTGGGATGACAGAGTGAATCAATTTCCACTCTCAGAGCAGATAAACGGTGTCTCCTCAATGTGACCTTGCTGGCGTCTGAGCAAGGTATCTGACTGTGTGAATCTTTTCCCACATTCAGAGCAGGTGAATGGCCTCTCTCCAGTGTGAACTCGCCAGTGCATTAGCCGCACAGATGAATTAGTGAAGTCTTTTTTCACACTCAGGGCAGGTGAATGGTCTGTTTGCAGAGTGAAGACACTGGTGTGTCAGCAGGTTAGATGAAGTAGTAAATCTCTTCCCACAGTCAGAGCAGAAGAGTGGCCTCTCCCCGGTGTGAACTTGCTGATGTACAGTGAGGTCAGCTGGTCGGTTGAACCTAGTGCTGCAGTGAGTACATGAGAACGGTCTCTTGTCAGAGTGAATACGTTGGTGTGCCATCAGTTCAGCAGAACTTTTATAGAATTTCCTGCACTTTGGACATTTAAAAGGTCTCTCCTCAGTGTGAGCCCTGATGGTGTTTTATCAGAATGGATTACTGAGCAAATCCTTTCCTACATTCGGGGCAAGGGAATGGTCTCTCCCTGTTGTGAACTCGCTGGTGTATTAGCAGCTCAGATGTGTTAGTGAATCCCTTTTCACAATCAGGGCAGGTGAATTGTTTCTTTGCAGAATGAAGTCGCCAGTGCATCCAAAGCCTGGATGATGTGGTAAATCTCTTCCCACACTTAGGACAGGAGACTGGCCTCTCCTCAGTGTGAACTCGTTGGTGGAAAGTGAGGTCATCAGAGTGAATGTATTGATGAAGCATCAGTTTCCTGGAACTTTTATAGAACTTCCTGTAGTTTGAACATTTAAAAGGTCTCTTGTCTGTGTGAACACGTTGATGTGACAGCGGGTGTGATGACCAAGTGAATCCGTTTCCAGATTCAGAACAAGTGAATGGCCTCTCCCCGGTGTGATTGCATCGATGAATTTCCAAATCAGATGGACATTTGAATTCTTTCCCACAATCCATACATTTCCAAAGTTTCTCCATAACGTGATTTCCTCGAGTGTCTCCTGGTTGAATGATTAATTCTCCGCACAAAGAACATCTGTTCATTTGTGTTGTGAATCATGTGATATCTTTTCAGGCTATAACTGCCTTTAGGTCTTTCTGCAGTTGGTGCGCTGAAAGCACCAGTGTGTGCCTCTGTATTTTCTCCAGTTACCCTGATATTTGAAATATTTTCCCACATTCAGAGCAGAGAAGAATTTTTCCTTTCACGTTTCCAGGTGCATGATATCCAGGTTCTTAGTGACTCTACCATTATGTTTGGTGAGAGTTTTGTTTTTGTAAACCCTTCCCTCCTCACACCCTGCAAAAGAAAGTTTGCAGAAGGGTTCACCGCTGTCAGTGCAGGATTCAGAGCAGACAATCCCAGTTTGGATCAACATTTGTTCCAACTCTTATTCGCGGTCAGAAATCACACGACACCATGTTATAGTCCTACTTGTTTGAAAACACAAGCTTTCGGAGCCTCAGTCTTTCGTCAGGTATGAGTTGCGGACAAAGCCCGAGCCCTTTCCGCCGGTTCAACCAGAGGTGTCGGTATTCGAGGCCTACGCCTTACATGGCATGTTTCTGAAGCCTCCAAACCCACTGTCATGCTCTACCCTTCCCTCCATGCTCACCCACCACGGCCGATCGTATGAAGTATCACTACGGCGCATACACAGTACACGGCCTCCTGGGGATTGGCGGCGGCTATGGACCAATAGGACGAAGGGGGCACCGAACAGGGAAAGCCTGTCCTCTAACCAATCAGAGTGATGGGGGGCGGGCTAGAGGACAGGGCACGGGAAGCCCCGCCTCTTAACCAAAGTGAATCGTGCGGGTGGGGTGGTTTGGAGCTGGAGGACTCAAGGGTGTGAACACAGCGGTCCGAAAGGGAAGCCGTGGTAAGTTTTACAAACTCCGATCATTTTCAGTGCATAGTGGAAGATCAAATCCCGCGAAGCAATGGATGAGAGAATTTAAGAAATCGAGGAGAAGTAAACGACGATATTTTCCTAACTAATTTATAGAAATCGAGTAAGAAAGTTACTTTAATGTCCCCATTTTGATGCTACCGGCGCTGCTCCAACTCGCCATTCCTTGCGGATGTGAAGATGCTCTGTTCGCAAGAGGATCACACAGGCGCAGTTTGGACGGTGTGTGGAATATGCTCAGTATCACATTGATTATGCCTGAGAGAGAAATGGAGACAACACAGTATGGGGCTGGAGGAACAGGTCAGGTCAGGCAGCATTAGAGGAGCAGGAAAGTTGACCTTTTGGGTCGGAACCCTTCTGCAGAAATGGGGAGGAGGAAGGGAGCTGGGAAATAAATGAAGAGGACGGGTTGGGCTGGGGAAGGTAGGTGGGATGGTGATAGGTGAATGCAGGTAGGGAGTGGTGGATGGGTGGGAGAGAAGATGAACAGGTTTTGTCGGGTCAAGAAGGCGGAAGGGAGGATGTGTGGGCTGGGGAAAGGTAGATGGGGTGGTGATAGGTTGGATGCAGATAGGGGGTAGTGGGAATTGGTCAGCAGGAAGCATAGGGCGGATAGGTGGGGAAGATGGACAGGTTGTGTCAAATCAAGGAGGCAGGGATGAGAGGGAGAGTTGGATATGGGATGAGGCCGGGGTGGTGAGATTTTAAAACTGGTGAATTCTATGTTCAGGCAATTGGGCTGTAGGCTGTGGAGGCGGAATATAGGTGTTGCTCCTCCAGTTTGCTGGTGGTGTCATTGTGGCACTGGCGGAGGGCCAGGATGGACATATAACCCAGGGAGTGGGGGTGCGAGTTAAAATGGTTGGCAACCGGACAGTAGAAGTATGAAGAGATATGGGCCAAAGGCCGAAATCTGGCCATAGGTCAGCCATGATCTCATTGAAGAGCGGAACAGGCTTGAGGGACTAAATGGCCTACTCCTGGTTCCTGAAAGACTGAATCCCAAACCCATCTCTTCCCTCTATTCCTAGTTTTCTCCCTCCCTCTGCCTGCAGACTGAGAATCAAATCAATGAGTCAATCATTGTCTCTCCTGGTCACGTGGATGTTAGAGGTGCCACCTATTTACGTCACCAAGACGATCACACATGCGCACGAATACCGCTGAAACAACATGGCGGCCGAGAACCAGACCATGTGCATGAGGAAAACCTTCGGATTTAATCAATCCGACACGTACAGTCTTTTATTCGCGGTTTCTACCCTACAGTAGGTGTTTCTGGAATCTCCCCGCCATTTTGTTGGTCATACTTCCGTCCGCGTCGTCGCCGCCGCCACTTAGAGGTTGCGAGATATCAACCTACGAGCATCGCAACGCCGTCATTGGCCTCGCACATGCTCAGAACTCGGTGCAGCACTGCGCAACAGCATTTGTGCCTGTTGTGGGAATAGAGGACATTCAACACCGCGGGGAGTTATGGGTAAATCTCCGACCATTATTCACCTTGTTAGATTATACTTATGTAATCAGCGTGGCTGAGTGTCTCTTCCATTCCGCTCAGCTTCCAAAAGTTCCACTCCGCATGCTGTGCGCTGGTTAGCTAACTCAGAGACTGAGCTTTGTTTTGCAGTTCTTTAGCTGCTGAGATGTTGTTGAGCTGTTCTGATTTAGATTTAAATTTACTTGTCACATGTACTAAGTACAACAAAAAGTTCACAAAGTCACCATTCACTTGCGCCGACTTGGTTACAAAAACCAGCGTGAAAAGATTTAACTGAGCTAAAAGGTAAGCATGGAAAAAAAATTCCAGATCTCGGAGTCCCATGTCCCATCTCCACAATGGTGCAGGCGCCACTCCAATCACTAGGACACCCAGGAGGCTGCCGCTGCCACTGCCACCATGCAAAAGGCCCCCTCTCGCCTCATTCGCTGCCTTACCGGCCCGCTCTTGCCACCAACTGCTGCTGCCTCATTGGCCCACTCTTGCTGCTGACAGCCATTGCCTCACCGGTCTGCTCTCGCCACCGAACCAGCCCAGTTTTCAACTGCTGCCATCACTGCAGGTTCCCAGTCATAATGCAACTCCTTAGGTAGGTAGTTAAATGGCAGGGAAGGTGGGGGTTGCGGAGGGGGTCATGGAATTACTGCAGAGAGGACAGGGAAGAAGAAATAAGAAAGGAAGAGGAAAACAAACTGGCGAGCAAAGTGGAGCTCCACATGGAGTGACTTATGCTGCCGCCATCTTGCTTCAAGATGGGTCGGTGGGCCTGATTTTAGCTGATTGATTAGGAAAAGATTGTGTTAATGTCTTTGAAAACATGGTAGAAAACAGTGAACATTTACAACCTTTACACCTTTATCAGTCTGCTGCAAATTGAATATATTAGTAGCAATAATTCATTTGAGTATTTTGGAATTGTATTTCTTTTTAAACAAAACAGTCCAGTTTCTCCCCTTCTTTTTCAGAACTCGGATTCAATGCCTGCTTTCCTTCCTCGGATGTCTTGAACTTCTGGTGACAGGTCTTGTTGGTGAGTGAGGATTGTCCTGGAAACTCACAGCAAGCAGAGTGAGGGAGCAGAAGGTTCTGTCACTGATTGCAAAGTTTGAGGTATGGAATCTGAGTTGACTGGGCAGGTGAGTCATTGTAAACCGCTGTTAAATAACTTATCCTGTAAAATTTAAATAACGATTTGTTTTCTCAATAAAAAAGATTAAAGTGGATCAGTAGTTTGACCTTTTAGAATTCTGGGACAGCAGGTGGGTCCTTGTAAAACATAGGTAGGGACTTACCTTGAGAATCAAAAACCAAAACTGAACAATAGACTGAGTTTAACTCCACCAATCAGATCACGGCTGATATGATTGTGGTCTAAGCTTCACTTTCCTGCCTCCCAGAAGCCTTCACTCCTTTGTCTATCAAAAATATTGCAGAATTATGATAATTTAAACATACAGGTATCTACAGCATATTGTGAAATGCAGGTGTCCTCATTGCTGAAACAGAACATGGGGTACAGGCACAGTTACAATGCTTAAAACACACTTAGATAAGTACATGGGTTTGGAGAGATATGGGCTAAGAGCAGACAAGTGGGACTTGTTTAGTTTGGGATTGTTTAGCATGGACTGGTTGGACGAAAGGGTCTGTTTCGATGTTATATGACTCTATGAAAGGTGCGTTGCACTCTGCGATATGTATTAAAATCTATTGTTCTATGTTGTCACATTCATTCCTTAAATTCTCAAACATTTGAAAACTATTTATGAATTTTATGAGGTTGGGGATTATGCTGAATCATTATCTATTTCTTCGATATTTTGTTTGTGGAAAAGACTCTTTCCTTCTGAATTCAATCTCAGAATTGCTTTCTTTATTTGTACAAACTTGTGAAAAGAATACAAAAAAAGTTTATTTTATTTTCCATTCAGGCAGGAGAGAGAGTGTGTGACATGGAAAGTTGCCGCTTTGGGGAAACAGGAAGGGAAAGAAATGAACTGGAAGTGTCTGTTCTAAATTTTTAGTCTGGACTGACAGTGATGTCTTTTATATACTCCTTTTGCAACGGATCGGGGAAGACATCTAAATGATCTGACAGGATTTCTCAATTTATCAGGACCAGCATATCATTGGTCTTTAATGTGGAGAGAAAAATGACTGGAAAAGCACTGAGACTTAGACAATGAGAGTGAGTGTCAAGTTACACAGCTTTAAAAGTAAATTCACAACATTCACAGTGGGTGAACCCATATATGTATTTTGTGTGTAGACAAGGCTTGAACTAAGTTGTCCAACCTGAAGAAATACAAAGACACCGGCACCATGGAGAAACAGTGGAATTGTGGGGACTGTGGGAAGGGATTCAATTACCCTTCCCAGCTGGAGATTCACCGACACAGTCACACCAGGGAGAGGCTGTTCATTTGCTCCATGTTTGGGAAGGGATTCACATTTTCGTCAATGTTACATATCCACCAGAGGACTCACACCGGGGAGAAACTCCTCCGTGTAGGGGGAGGGCTTTAATTTTCTGACCCAGCTGCTGAGGCACCAGCGGGTTCATATTGGTGAGAGGCTGTTTAACTGCTCTGAGTGTAAGAAGAGCTTTAAAAGATGACAGGATCTGATCAAACACTAGCTGTTTCACACAGAGAAATGTTTTAGTTGTTCTCACTGCAGGAGGACATTTACGGATCCTCAAAAAAACACCATCAAGTTGACACTGGGAAGAGGCTGTTCAATTGCTCCATGGGTGGGAAGGAATTTACTCTGGTTATCTCACTTCAATTCACACTAGCATGTTCACACTGATGACAGATGTTTCAAATGTTCAGAATGTGAGAAGGCCTTTATAACTACAGGTGCTCTGCTGAGACACCAGCGAATTCATACTGAGGAGAGGCCATTCACCTGCTCTGTCTTTGCCCAATCTCACTTTACACCAGTGAGTTCACTTTAATTAGAGACCTTTCCAATGTTCTGACTGTGAGAAGAGCTTTAAAACTACAAGGGATCTGCTCATGCACCATCAAATTCACACTGTGGAGAGGCCATTCACCTGCTCCCTGTGTGGGGATTCACCCATTCATCCCACCTCCTCACACACCAGTACACACAGGGGAGAGGCTATTTACATGCTCCCTCTGTGGGAAGCAATTCACTTAGCAATCTCACCTTAATTCACACTGATAGCAGATCTTCTCAATGTTCTGAATGTGAGAAGACTTTTAAAACCACAGACAGTCTGCTGAGACACCAGTGAATTCATACTGGGGAAGAGGGTGTTCATTTGCTTTGTGGGAAGCGTTTCACTTCGTCATGCCACTTTTGGATACACCAGCATGTTCACAAATGACTGCAGGGATGGATTCTGTTGTTTCTGCTGCTATTGATTACAACTAAATTCATTCTGACAGCTGGGTTTCATTTCTGATGTTGTTATTAATCCCATAACTGATCTGGAACTTAATTACTGTAACAGATCACAATACAATAATGTAATTTGAAACAGTGTGTCAGGTTCTGTATTTTGAGAAATTAAATGAGAATAAATGATGTCCTTTTGATGACTGCACCTTGTTCAGGCCTTTTCTCATTTCTAACTCTGGATTCCTTCTGTTCTTATACTTCTGTTACTCCCAAGGACAAGTCCAACTCCCAGACTTCCACTGTGTGTCTCTTAATCTTGTTATCAAGTGAAGGTGTTGGGTAACACTGCCTGAATCACTAAAAACAAAATAGAGTCTATCTGTCCCTTTCAGCAACTGGACATAATGTGTGTCCTACAGCAAGCATCAATAAAACTAATTTTGCATTAAACACATGGGTTGGAATCTTCCCAGCCCCTGAACAATGTGGACTATGGTGAAGCAGTTTGGTACATATGTAAGATTCTGAAAATGAAAAGTCAGATTTTCCACCAAAGGTTTTAAAGGAGAGATGAGAATCTTGCTGATAAGTAGTGAGAGTCCTGTTTCCATGCACTTACACCTCAATATTATCTATTCTCACCTGATTTATTTGCAATTTGATTTTCTTCCATATGGCAGAGAGAAATTTGGTGCTGATGATTTCCAACATGAAAGTCTCAGTAGGTACCTGGTCACCCAACATGTTCCTCCAGGTCTCCATCTCCTTTCTGCATGAATACATTGGTGGGAAATCAGATCACTGAGATTTCCAGAGCATTTTTCCCAGTCTGGGCAAAGGCAGATGATTGGATCGTCTTAATCTCAGTGACAACAAAGCTCCTCACACTTGGAGGGGGAGAGGGGAGAGGGAATCACCTGTGTTAAAGGCAAAAAGAAGATGAATATGCACTTTTTTTTACACAAAGCTGTTTTATTTGACATTATCTACATTAACATATAACTAGACAGGTGGTTATTAACATCAGCAGAAACAGGTAGCTATGAAATTAGTTCACTCCTGGATGTGATTAATTGTGAAAATCCAATCATTGTAGTTCCTTGGTGAACTTGATGGTGATTCAGCAGATGCAAGCAGATAAAGGGCTTCTCCCCAGTGCAATAACATTGATGCCTTAGCAGGTGGGACGATTGAGAGAAGCCCTTCCCAGAGTCAGAGCAGGGAAAGGGCTTCTCCCCAGTGTGAACAGCTGGTGTACACTGAGGTAAGATGATCGTCCAGATACAGCCCCACAGTCAGAGCACTCAACCTTTACAGCACTTCCCACAGACGGGGCATTTAAAAGGTCTATCCTCAGTATGAATTCTTTGGTATGTCCTATGTTTGATGAATTGATAAATCTCTTCCCACATTCTATGAAGGTGAATGGCCTCTTCCCAGTGTGAACTCCCTGGTGTCTCAGCAGGGTGAATGATTGAGTGAGAGATAGTAGGAACTGCAGATGCTGGAGAATCCGAGACAAGGTGCAGGGCTGGATGAACACAGCAGGCCAAGCAGCATCATAGGAGCAGAGAGGCTGACGTTTCGGGCCT